ACAGCAACAGAAAGAAAACGTTTAACTTTCAATGGAGCGCTCCATTGAAAGCTGCTGCTGCCGCAGTGCACGCTACTGTTGTGCTTTCTCCAGCGTCGCACAGCTTTGTCGCCATGGCCTCGAAACCCCGCCTTCTTTGCATCCAGACATTCAAAACGCATCTCTGCGTTGTGATTGGCCCGCCAGATTTAGGGCCTGGGGCATTGATCAAGGCTTGACCAACTCGCAGGCAAAAATTATTTTGGCCACTGGCGGGTGGGGCTAGTTTACTAGGCTATGTAGATGTGGCTATTATCCTTAAATGTGACAGCGGTAAGTAAGGCTAATATATAATTTTTATCCTACAGAAAAGAAAACTATCCTTAAATTTATGTAAACAAACCTCTCCATCACTTGACAAGATACAGACTTTGCTGAAGCCAGTTTGCACCATTAGATGTCCCTGAAGATTACACGCTGTAACTTTAAATTTGCAAATAGTCTCAATAATTTCTTTGGTGTGAAGTCATTATTGTGCAATGCACAATTGCTTTTTTGTTTGATGGTAATTATATCTACCTCTGCTTTTTTTCTCTGACGCTAGTCTCTGGCGCTTCCTGTTTGCTTGCATTCTTTTGCCACAACTACTAGTTGGGATAAAATGACGATGTATTACTGAAGTGAAGCATTTTGCTACCTTCTGTTAATGAAACAACAGAGGAGAGTTAAAATATAAGGAGTGAACCAGCTGGAAATATTTGAATTCTTCTACAAATGTTGTTTATTCCACTTCAACAAAAAAAAAAAAAAAAAAAACGTAAAATAGACAATCCACCTTTATATAACCCATCCTGATTGTACATATGAGACCTCAAATCTCTGTGTTACCCCCTTTTATTTTTTATTTTCTTAAACTTTATTTTGTTTTTTATTGTGTGTGATGCATATACACTTGCACCTTAATCCTTATTTATCTTGATATACTGTATATATATATTGTTTATTCTTCAAGCACCCTTTTCCTACTTGTTTGCACCTTCTTTAATTACTATGCCGATATGTGACAAGTAGATCTCTCTGCTGTGAGATCAATAAAGCTCATCTAATCTAATCTAATATCCTATCTGAAACAATCAAAGGTGAGAACAAGCCTCACTCTAAGCGGTCTTATTTAAAGCTTCCTGAGGAGGAGTCAGCAACTGGGCCAAAAAACCCTTATATTGGACTGTGGAGCTATGAAGGAGATTTAGCATGTTTGCAACAAGAAAAACACTGAAGTTATGATCTGTATAGTGTCTGGTATCTGATATGTACATAGGACGCAGGCCTGTTTAATGTGTACTGGAGGCTTTTGAGGTAGTTTGAGGTAGGACTACTTAACCCTAAATCAACCTTTTTTTCTAATAAACTGTATAAACAAATGGCTTATAGTCCTGTCAACATGTCTGTTGCATTGTTTTGACACTTTACTGCACATTTGTTGAAATCCTGCTTCTCTACCTCAAACCTTGATGTCCTCTTCAGGATAGAAAGGCGTTATTGTTGTACTTTAAGGAACCCACTGACCGGAATGATTTGACCAGTTAAAAACCTATATCTAAAATTCTTGAGAAGTGTGTTCCCGCTTACGCAGTAGAGATTTGTGAAAAGCTTCATTCAGGTTTTAGAGCTTATCATAGCACTGAAACGGCACTGCTGAATGTTACTAATGATATTCGATTTACCTGAGATGTAACACTGGTGTCTGGAATTTATTTCAGTAATGCATTTGATACAGTCGATATAATTATTCTTGTAAAAAGGCAGGAATGTGCTGAAGGAGGGCTCATCCAAGAGGACTGGACTCTCCCAACTTAATGACTACAAGTAACAAAGTACAAATACTTCTTTACCTTACATAAGTAGACATTTTGTCCATCTATACTTTACAGGAGTAATTATTTTACTTTTTACTTCTACTCCTTTCATTTTTTTTATCTCTGATTTCTATTCCACATATTTAAAAAATTGACCTGTTATTTCTATTTCATTTAAGATCATTCTCGTTATGGCCTGTTGGTATTTAAAAAAAATATAGATACCATCAAAAAAAATTGTTTCATTCAGACATTTTTCTCTGTGGTTGGACTCAACTTGTTGTTTGACACAAATAAAAAAAATAGTTTTTCAAGATGATGCAAAGTTAAATGTGACACTGTTTACATGATTTATAAAACTAAGAAAATGAAGTGTAAGGAAGTTATTTTCCAGAATTGTAGAAAGATTTTCCTTTAATGGGGTTTTGCAGTAACCAGTATGAGGTTTAAAGCATCTGTCCTTAACATTCCTTTTTCTGCATTACTTTTTTATACTTTAGGTAGTTTTACAAATGTTACTTTTAAACTTTTACTTCAGTAAAAAACGCTTAAGTTGATACTCCAACTACAGAAGTTTTTTAAATTTCAACATTAGGATTTATACTTCTACCGTATTTTCACGACCATAAGGCGCACCGG